AGAAGTTTCTGATAAGTTACACCCTGGTCGAATTTTCACACGAAACTTGACGATGGTTCTCTCACCTTTCAAGGCGAGGCCAAGCTAGGAGTAGGGGGAGTTTGGTTTCGCATAAAACTTGGTGGAGATACCATGAGTGAAGCTTAAACTCTTTGTTGTCCTGTTATGTCGTCATGCTAGGTCTTCTACCGCGTGTTTTACACACTCACGCACACAAAATTGTACACTTTATATTTATTATAGATGTATACATATGAAGCTCATCAGTGTACATTCAGTGGTTCTCCGAGTGAACCAACCAGTACCAGATGCATTCACTATCCACAGAGGCTTATGTTGGAGGATTCCGAGACGAGACTCATGGAGGAGAATTCTCTCTCTTTCTCTCTGCTCCTTTCTCTTTTTCTTACCTATTCTGTCCTCCTTCTTCCGCGAGGTCTGTCAGTGTCAGATATATTCAGCGAGTCTCTTTGTTCGTTCGCCGAAGATTATGCGACGATTGTGAATGTCAAGCGTTCAAGCTTTCTGACCACGCAGTGGGAAATCGATAATTTCAAAAAAAGACTTGTACAAAAGCGTTGATGTGTATTTTTTTCATATTTGACTTTGTGACACATGTGTCTTCATACATATATGTATGTGTCGAGTCTTCCATAGAGCTATATTTAACAGTATTGTATTTTTATTGTATAAATTTGCCTTCCTCTATGATTGCATCTCCCATAAATAATTTTTACGATAAACTGTGACTCCTGATGTTACGATTTAAATTTCATTTATTGGAGCTGATTTTCTATACATGCTTTTTAGAATATTTCACAGAGTATCCAAATGTTCTGAAAACTTTGAAAATAACAGCAATTTGAAAATAGTATTGTATCGTCACAAACATGTGTATTTATTTCTTTATAAATTTTTAAATATCTTAAGATAATTAATTATTCATGAATTAACGAGATAATACAAAATGTTTTACGGTGACTAATCGCAAAACAATCAATCGAAGCCAGTGATTCTTAGATTGTTGTGCAATGTACGATGGAGATATTTATGAAACAAATGCGCATAATCAGCTGTTTTGATTTAATGACACGTCGGTGTCATTAAAACATCCGCGATTCGATATAAACGATTTCGCTCGTCGAGAATTCACGTCGGTTTTATTTTCAAAACGCAACGCGATTGACGCGAAAGCGATAAAAGCGAATAAGGAGCAACTCTCTCGACTTTCGCAGCGTACTTACATAATTTTATATCGCTATATGTGCTATGAATACACAAGTAACCCGTGAAGATTAAGCGGACGGTGATGCCTATCAAAAAAGAATATGATCCATGATCTGCATAATTTGCCGACTTCAGCGATTATTCAGACTCTATACATTTCTATTCGAGTCTCTATACATTTCTATTCTTGGATCAAACAGCTCTTCACTTTTTTGCAAGATAACCGTAATTACAAGGGGAGGAAATGATTTATCGCGAATTTACTCTTGGATGAAGAGGAGGAGATAATGAATTTCTGAGACACTCGTGTTAGCTTTTACCTATTTTTTTATTTGATATCTTCTCTTGCAAAGTTATTGTTGTGTAAATTTTATTCTTTAATGCCACCTCGTACATTTTACAGATACGGGAATCTCTTATTTAAACTTCTTAAATCTATAGTTGCACTTAATCTCTCTCGTGCCATGTTGATAACAATTGCAGGAAACTTTCGTAATTGACTGTAAACCGTACATAGCTTTAATCGCTGGCGTTAACAATTCTTTCGCCAAAACCTCGTGTTGTTCCTTCATTAGAATTGCATTACACTTTCCAAAGTTTGTAACAGCGATACGCACGCGAGTATCACACAAGCATTTTCCAAGTTTTCTAGTAATTTATAATTATAATGCCAAACAGTATTATTTTTTCATGATTAATTTAGTCTTATTTAGATTGATATATAATTATTTAAATTGGATATATAATTATTTAGATTGACATATAATATTAAATAGAATATTTCAATAGTCTATATCTAAATTTTTACAAAGCAGAAATAAAGTGTATATTCTTAATTAAAGAGTCGCTCGATAAATTAATATGGACGTATTCCATTCATTCGTTCGAGAGAAATTACGCACTGTATGTAATATTGATGTGACTCTTTGTAAAAAAATAAAATACAAAAAAATAAAGAATAAAAAAAAAATAAAAGAAAACCCGAGGCTCTTCGCAAAACGTACAAAAATACTTATGCTAGCCATCGCTTAATTCAATAGTTCCCTTCGATGGAAAAAGATACGGATCCAACCTCGTGCAATGCAAATGCAAAACCAGTTCGGGATCTTTTGTATGACTCGTACCAAGCGTTATGCGCGAGAGGAAGTGAAAGCAACATTCGCGGGGGACAATATACGGCCATGGACTATCTGTCCCCTGTCGCAATGTCGAACTCGTTTAAGTCCTGGCGAAAAGAAAAATTGTTTCGACCTGCGTTATTTTCTATTAAGTTCACTTTAAACAATCTGCTCATTATTGACAATAGAAATCTATTTGTAATCTTATATTATGTATGCACGTATTCTGATCTATTTTACATGTGTATCTTATTTCTTCAGGATTTCTTATATTATACGACATAAAATAAATAAAATAAAATTCTCTTTTGAATGTATTATATAGATCGTCTTTATTATAAAGTTGGAAATTATAGAAGAAAATCATATTTTCGTATATTTTGAAATTTATGTAGAAAGAAACCTCGTATCTAAAAATTACATTCGATTGCGAACAATTAAATTATATTTTATATTAAATATTATTAAATATTATATTAAATATATAATATTATTAAATATTATTAAATATATTAAATATAGATTTTATATTAAATTATATTTAATATATAATTTTTACACTTGTAATAATTCAAGTATTTCATCGTAAAGCGATTAATTGTATAGTTAAACAATAATTGTATACTTAAAATGTAAATGTAAAAATATTAATTTAAATAGTTTAATATACATGTATTATAATTAAAAAATATATCAGGATTCATTATTCAATAAGCAATCACTTTGCTGTCTCAACTCGCTGCCCCAACAAAATTTCGACAAATAAGAAGATAAATGGATGACAGATAATAAAATGACCTTTTTTTACATGTTTTATGAATATAAATTTTATCTTTGTAGATATAACATATTCTGAATCTATGGTATAAATATACAATATGTATTATGCATAAGATATTAAAATCATTTTGTTATTAAATACGTTACATTGTTTTATATTTTCTCATTTATATTTACTGGGGTTTTATAATATTTATAATATTTTATAAATTTATGTATTTCATACATTTATAATTATAATTAATATATTTAATATATTTATAATATATAATTAATATATTTTATATATTTATATTTTCTAATATTTTATATATTTCTGAATATTATTTTTCAGGAATATTATTTTAAAGGAAAGTCTTGGCTTGTTCGTTCCATTACATATTTTAAATAATTGTAAAGAATTTGTTCATATGGAATTCCTCATTTAATGCTACTTCATTTTTAAAAGGCATTTTGTCGACCTTTAATGTCTTGAAGTATTTTAGTTTTTCCTCGTTTGAAAATTAACACTTGAAAATTCTCTAAATAACGAAAGATTTTCTAATTATAATAATGTTAAGTTTCTAAACAAATAACAATGATAAATTCGTAAAATTAAAGAAAAAATAATTCACGTAACATATGTGATATTTAAGCTTTTATTTGTAATATTTTTTTGTTTTTTGTATCTATATATTTTAGGAATAACGTTTTTAATATTATTTGCAATCTTCTATCTTTCTATTGTTTGCGATTCGTTACATTTGTCTAGTGTCCCTTTTATTTGACATTCTTGTCTGAATATTCTATTTTCAATTTTCTTTGTATCTATAATAAATAATCAAGATGATTTATTTTTTAATCAACAATGTTGTGGGACAAATTGATAGTAACTAGCTTCACGATTTGTCTCTTCAATTTCTGATTGGCAAGGCACAGAATATTAATTTATTATTATATTATAGTATATTATTAAAAAATTAAAATTAATTATAAAATATTAATATATATCATAAAATTAATATAAAAAATTAATATAAATTAAAATTAATTATATTAAAAATCAACATATTTAATATAATAATAACACAAAGACGAATTCTACTTAAAATCAATTCTGTAACGGTATTAAAAAGGTGTTAGCAAAAAATATCATATAACCAGATAACGCGATTAAAACACTACAATTACACATCAGTCTGCAATTTGTGTGACTTAATACTATTTAAAATAAATCCTTTTCGAAGAAATCGTCGAGTCGCCATAAATGTCGCAAATAAGTTAGCTAAAATGTTAATATATCCAAAAGAATAATCACACGGTGGCTCGATTAACTCTCATAAATGTCAGTGGACTAGCGGGAGTATGGGTCACTCGACTTACGTAATAGTGTGTAAAAATAAATAATTAATATACTCGAAACATTTATCTCGCCTTTCGATAGCGACTATTTAGGACTTAAAACGTGCGTTCAAAACACATTTCAAACACCGATATGCATATTTCAATAAAAACGTGACAGTTTCAAAGCACATCGATGGCGATTCGATGATCAGTACCTCTTCTGTTTTGAAATTTTGTTCCGATTCGTTAAATGGTACATGTTAGTAATTTAATAAAATAATTTTAATTATAAAAGATAATTCGAGGGATTTATTAATAACTTGACAATTTAATTTCGTGAAATCGCGATCAAATAAATGATTGAATCGCTTAAGAAGCAGCGCTTTGATGCGATGCGGATAAGATGATAGACGTAAGGATTAAATATGATTTCAATCTGCACGTTAAGAATCTACAACCGTATTTCAAGTGACTTAGAACTCACGTCAATGACATTTCACAATCATTGTACGACGCATATGATCGCATCTCTGATCTCTGATTCCTTTCCAGAGGGTAAGGTCGAAGTGTCGAGAGACGGCAAATATCTTAGTACCTTGCAACATGGTAAAGTGCTGGGGGAGCTCGCTATTCTTTACAACTGCAAAAGGACAGCGACGATTACCGCGGCAACTGATTGTCATCTCTGGGCCATCGACCGACAATGTTTCCAAACCATTATGATGAGGACTGGTCTCTCGAGACAGGCGGAATACACGGACTTCTTGAAGAGGTAAATCTTGCAAGCCAATACATTAATCCTCAATTACCTTGTATATGTCTGTTAAAATGTTAAAAATAGTTTATTTTTTATATAATTGTGTCATTTCTAATTGTATGCAATTAATTAATTGATTTTCAATTTATTCAATCTTATGTGTATGAAACTTTATTCTTTTTAAGAAAGAAAAAATAAAACTGTACATAAAGCAGGGTGCATTTTTATCGTAAAGTCAATCTTGTCAAAAAATAATTGCTATCAAATCCTAAAATTTACGGCATCATTGCAATTAAAAATTAATTATTTTATAAAGCATTAAATCATTTCTTTTATTTTCTATTTATTCATATTTCAAATCGAGCGAGCATAAAATTTTGTGGCAATTTTTTCTAAATAATTACTTTAATAAAGATATTCTTTTATTTTTTTTTTGATTTCTCTTAATATTAATATTAAGTTATACAGTCCCTGTTAGAAATACTTTTTAAAAAATGACACATTATAATCTTATGTAATATCTAAAAATAATGCAAAATTTATGTTTTCAGTGTGCCGATCTTCAAGAACTTACCCGAAGAAACTCTAATCAAAATTTCGGATGTTTTAGAAGAGGTAAGCTATTCTCTCGACGAAATATATTTATATATGTGCGAATTATACTTATTATAATTATTAATTTTGTATTTTCTCTCTTGGTAGACGTTTTACAATTATGGGGATTATATAATAAGGCAAGGGGCGAGAGGTGACACGTTTTTTATCATCAGTAGGGGACAAGTACGTGTGACAATAAAACAGCCGGATACGATAGAGGAGAAATATATCAGAACGTTGGGAAAGGGCGACTTTTTCGGCGAGAAAGCTTTACAGGGGTGAATATAATAAATACTTCAATTTTCTCTTATAGAGATATTGAAATTGTTGTTTAATTATCTTTTATATCAATTCATTTGATTATTGAATAAATTTAATTTGTAAAATTGTATTAATATTTTTAACTGAAACTTTTTATTTTGTTAATATATTTAATGTTATAAGAAGGATTGATATACTACAAATATATTTACGATAAATATATATTAATATATTCTCTTATAGAGATGATCTCAGGACTGCCAACATCATTGCTGATGATCCAGAAGGAGTAAGCTGTTTAGTTATAGATCGTGAGACGTTTAATCAATTAATTTCATCCTTGGATGAAATTCGAACGCGATACAGAGACGAGCTAGTGGAACGTAGAAGGTGAATATATCTCTCTCTTCTTAAATATTTATATGAAAATTAGATCTTTCTTACATAAGCATTTTTTAAATTAACATTTTAACCATTTATATCTATATTCATTGTTATATGTCATGTGTAATATTATGTTCCACGCTTGACATTAGGATGGGCGAATAAACTATACATTTCAAGTAAGTTTGGTAATAAAAACGAAAAGATGTATCGTGTTAAAGAAAAAATATCAATATATATTATCAGTATGAGTGCAAAATGCGGGAAGAATAAATCTATTTACGATTTTTGTATATTTTCTATAATAGATGTAAAAAAGAGAGAAAAAGAGAGAAAGAAAATTAATTCGTACTGATCAGAGATATACTGAAATCTTATAATTTTTCAGGCTAAACGAGGAATTCCGGGATGTACGATTACAAGATCTTCGGACTATTGCGACTCTCGGCGTGGGTGGTTTCGGAAGAGTTGAATTAGTTCAAATTGCCGGAGACGGCACACGATCCTTCGCTCTCAAGCAAATGAAGAAGACGCAAATCGTCGAGACGCGACAGCAGCAGCACATTATGTCGGAAAAGAGAATCATGAGCGAAGCGGATTGCGATTTTGTAGTGAAGCTTTTCAAAACATTCAAAGATAGAAAGTATCTTTACATGTTGATGGAGGCTTGTTTGGGTGGTGAATTGTGGACCGTTCTAAGGGACAAGGGACACTTTGACGATGGCACTACGCGGTTTTATACCGCATGCGTTGTGGAAGCATTCGATTATCTGCACTCCAGAAATATCATCTACAGAGATCTTAAGCCAGAAAATCTACTTTTGGATAATCAAGGGTAATTATGTGTACAATAGTCATATATTGTATAGAAAAATATAGAAGTCGTTACTGATATATATATATATATATATATATATATATATATATATATATGTATATATATATAAATTATTTTTAATATATATTAAATTGACAGATATATATATATATATATATATATATATATATATATATATATCTTATATGTCTCTTATATGTCTTGCAATTTAATAAATTTATTTCATGGTCACATTTTGTTTCTTAGATATGTTAAACTCGTGGATTTCGGCTTTGCTAAACGGTTGGATCACGGTCGGAAAACGTGGACTTTCTGCGGTACTCCAGAATACGTGGCACCGGAAGTCATTCTGAATAAAGGTCACGATATAAGTGCCGATTATTGGTCTCTCGGAGTTCTTATGTTTGAATTACTTACGGGGACGCCTCCTTTTGCCGGTGGCGAACCAATGAAGACGTATAACATTATTTTAAAGGGAATCGACGCTATAGAATTTCCTAGATCTATCACGCGCAACGCGATGGCGCTTATCAAGAAACTTTGCAGGTAATTATACAAAATAAATTTTTTTTTACTGAAAATGTTTCATCTATTCATAATATGTCAATATTTGTTGAAAATATCCGCAATATATAAACAATATAAATTGTCTTATTTTCAGGGATAATCCAGCGGAACGTCTGGGATACCAAAAAGGCGGCATTAGTGAAATACAGAAACACAAGTAATCAATATTTTGATTTTAGCATTTTAAAATTATAAGAGAATAATTTTTAAAAAATAATTTTGTGTTTATGGACTTTTTGCAGATGGTTCGATGGTTTTAATTGGGAAGGTTTGAGAACGAGAACTCTAGAACCGCCAATACTGCCACGAGTCCAAAGTGCTACGGATACTACGAATTTCGATGCTTATCCGGCTGATACTGATCCACCACCACTTGATGATATTTCCGGTTGGGATAACGATTTTTAACGCAAAATGTATAGAGGATTTATATTTAATATTCGCGTTTTTTAATCACTTGGCAGGAAATCGTAACAGCACATGACGATTTCTCGATCATACGAGACAATTGGCGACACCTGCATTTATATTTATACTTCTCTCATAATATTACGTGATATATCAATTGCAGTTGCATTTTATCATATTTTTACACTTTTGTCCTATTTCATATAATCGATTAAAACGAGGGAAACTGCACTGTGATAAAATATAGAATTTTTACGGATTTTTGGATGATATAGATATTAGCAAAATTTAAAAAAAAAAAGAGAAGATTTAGACCTAAATTTTTTTATTTATGTCGCGTTTGTGTCTGTTCCAGAAATAAAGTATCTCGAGTGTTATATATATATCATAATAGAATACTTATGCAAGTGTCAAGTGCCATTATTACCTCGAGAAGGTAAATTCATGTACGTTCATACTTGTGCTCAGAAACGCGGTCACACGCAAAAAACAGTCAGCTCAAGTCCAAGGGACCTCTTGCCATTCATACTTTAGCTTGTCAGAATGTGCATATAGTTCAATCTATCAGATGTTAAATTTTTTTATGGCAAGTTCATTGTTGTTTGATTCATGCTTTAGAGTTTATTATTAATAATTGTATTTTAATTACATATACGTATGTGTATGTATATGTACATATATATATATATATATATATATATATATATATATATATATATGATTCTTGTAAATAATAATTATATCATACGAATTTTAGATATCAAATGTACATCAATATTGAATGAAATGTTATGAATAACAGCTGCAGGTATGGCTGTAAGAACCAAATAAATCCACTTTTTTTAGTGGTTTATAATATTTAATGTTTCTCCTATTAAACAATATTAAAAAAGGAGAAATCAATTATATACAATTATCTTGTAATTCACAAAAGCATTTTACTTTGCAGTAAATTGCTTGATTAGAATTTTCAAGTATCCAATATACAAACTCTGTATTTTATACATACATATATTGGTTCCTCTAGTGTTTAAAAAATTAACTTGACTGGTTCTTTTAGTCAGGCCTTCAATTGTATTGTGTATACAAATGTACACATATGTATACATACATATATATGTATATATTGTATTTTGGATATATATATATATATATATATATATATATATGTAAATATATATATATCTGTTGAGTCTCTTTTTGTGCAAAACATTTTATCCTGGAAAATAGCAAATAAAAGTGTATAAGTATTATTAGGCCAATACTTTGACACTTTAATAAGTACAATATCTTAATATTGTAAAATTTCTTTATTCTGACATCTCCTCTTAGTCTCTCTTCATTTTTACTTCTAAAGACATCCAGAATATAAGAATAAAAATATCATTGCAGATTTGTCTTGCATTCGTTTTCTCTAAACAGTTTTATGTAGTAATATGTAATAGGAGAGGAAAACTGTCCTAAAAAAATAGTTCACAATATTAAAAAAATACAAGCCTAATAATTCTCTTACACTTGATAATAACAGATTTAATTTACAGCACAAAAGTGATACATCATTGTTTTCTTTGTAATAATTGGGCAAATAATTATAAGCACAAAATAAAATGAATGCTATGTACATGTATACATATTTTGTATTAAACAGTCGATCACAATCAATTTTTCTGCACAAAGACAATTTTCCTATCTAGACGAATTCGCATACTAAATATTTGTTTCATTTCATCCATCTTACATTAGATCTTGATAAAAACATACTTGTTCAATGCCTCTTGGATAAAAATAAAGGTTTGACTTACAATCATAGAGATAAATGCTTATTTTATTATTAGATAAGACATCAAAAACACGAACATTATAAAAGCGATAATATTTTATGATTTATTTGATTTTGATTCAATAAAGGTGTAATATGTAATAATAAAAATGATTGTCACATTTCAAAAATATAATCTCTCTTCCAAGATAAAAAAATGTTACTTTTAACACTTAATTATTCCTTCTAGCGCCGAGCGATAATTTTTACTTCTCAAATTGTTTGATTTATTTTTCTTTACTCTCTAAATTTTTATTTATTCTTCTTTAACTTTTTCTATAGGCAAAATTTGTCCAAAAAAAATGGTTAATAAACTAAAAAAAGAGAAAAAGAAGATTTCTCTCTCAGAGAATAAAGGTGCGGCCTCATTGACGCTAAAAAGTAGCGTCAATCATTGGTTGAACAAGGAGGTAAGTATAGTTGCTTCATTGTTCAACCAATGGTTGACGCTACTTTTTAGCGTCAATGAGGCCGCATCTTAAAGGTGCAATTTCATTGACGCTAGAAACCAGCGGCAAATTAAAATCACTAGACTTTCTCTAGATATGGCGTCAATAAAATAAAGTTCAAACAGTTTCAACTTTTTCAGTGTGTAAAGCGGCCTTTTCATTGACGCTACTTTTTAGCGTCAATGAAATTGCACCTTAACAGTTGGCAGCCCTACGAGATAAGCTGTGCAGCACTGCGCGTATATAAAATAAATTTGAAATCGCTTCTAGCCTAACCATCTTCACGCGATCGACTTTATTTGAATTGCACGGCATCGCATCGAATTATGATGCGGCGCCGATTTGTTCGAACGTAATTCGGGACATCGCGATGCTGTATAAGCGTCGAATGAGCACGAATTGTCACGCAAATATGATAAATCACATCTACTCACCGTTCACCGGCTGTTCCACAGGCCGCTCCACTCGCTCGCCTCGGGACGTCCCATTCCGATCTTGATGCACACGATATCATCAACGCGAACGCACGACACTTTATTCGACACTCCCGATATTCGCTCGCATCCGATAATCATTATCAAGGGCGCAAATAACGCGACGCGACTTCGCTCCATCTTCGCGATCGCGCTATCACTGAACTGTGAAAAATAGCTGTCGCGCACTTTCACCGACATATTATGAAAGTCGCACGATCATCCTTGGACACTCTCGACGCTCGTTCACTCGCGTATTCGTTTAAAAACGGTTAAAAGATGCGAAAAATGCGGACGTACGACGATCCGTGTAACAGCGTATGACTCCGATTCCCGTATGACGCGTATGACGTAGCAATGACGCGTATGACGTAGCAGACACGCGCCAACATGGCGGCCGAACCACTGCGCATTCGTTTCTGCGCATGGCCTTTCCTGCGCGCAACTTTGATTACTGAATATTGTCTACGGCTTTAATTAATAGCACATAATGATAAATATATAAAGATGGAATCAGTTAATCATATTGGTCATATATGTAGACTTGCCCGAAGAAATAGAGAAAAAATGGAGAGATATTTTTAATTTCTTTTTCTTTTAGTAAAGGATGTAAATGTCTATTCATAGGCTTGTTCTTTTTTTCCTCTTTCGCGCAATTTCGATTCAATATATAACGTAGAAAATTCATAGTATATTATGCTAATGATATGAATTACGAATGATTCGATTGTTTTATCGCGCTTTTCCAAAGTCAAATCTTATAATATTTACTTTTGCATTTTAAAGGACTAAGAGCGAACTAAATAAATAAATAAATAAATAAATTATGTTCAGAAAAAGAAAAAGAAGACTCATAAATAAATAAATATATAAATATATAATAAAGATTGATATTAATATATACATATATATCATACGAACTTGTACGATCTCAAAATCTTTATCTTTTATTCCGTTACTCGAATACTTGTACGTTAACAGATTTAGGTTACACACATTGCATAAAGCTTCGATATTTTGCAATCTTCATCTCATCTCAATTTGGAGAAGCACGTGCATTCCTTTCGATAAATGTCCGCACAAAAATACGTCGCGCTTCAAATAAATAAAAGTCACTCGATACTGTGCATCGATCTAATCGTAAATATATTCGACGATTTTTTTTGGATCACTGTGTTATCGGAACGTGCGATCAGAACGATTCGAAAACGATTCATATACAGAGTTTGAAGAGATATCCAATGCACGACAAATTATACTTGCGTTGATTAGTATTCATCGATACTGAACTGTTAATCGCGAATACGTACAACACTATCACACATTTTTTTCGCAAAGAACGATATACGAAATGCAATATTTCGCGCCTCGCGTTTCACTCATGCGGCCATCTTTCTTTGCTGTTTAGTATCGCCATCTGCATTCGCGTTAAACGCCAGAATTACGTATTCAAATATTTCGACTGCCGGTAAAGTCATCATTTTGTGCATGTCGGTAAATTGTTAGAATCGCAAGCATGATTTTTTTATTTGTAGTATAATAAAATATGTAATTAAAAATTCATGTAAGAAACGTATTTTTAATCAAACATATACTTATTCCGTTACTCTAATACTTGTACGTTAACAGATTTAGATTACACACATTGCATAAAGCTTCGATATTTTGCAATCTTATCTCATCTCAATTTGGAGAAGCACGTGCATTCCTTTCGATAAATGTCCGCACAAAAATACATCGCATTCATAATTCACTCTTATATTTAAGATCCTCTTAAGTAAGTTGGAAAATACAACTATTTTACTAACTGAACGGAATCTCAAGACGCGATCTAGATTATTTTAAATATAAATATAAATATATATATATATATATATATGTATATACATAAATATATATGTATATGTATATATATATATATAAATGTTTCGTGTCACGATAAATCTTGTAAAATCATTGATCTTTAATAGTATCTCGTCAGTGAAAAAAGTGCTTTCGAATGTTACACTTTATGTAGCAAATTTTTTATATTGTTCTATTACAATTTTCATTAACAGCAAAATATTTAATGCTTGATGCTTTATATGTATAGTATATATAATACAATGTGCTAAATTATAAAGTGTAACATAATTAAAAAGTATTACTATTATTAGTCGACTTAATTGCAAGCTATTCCTAATTACTACACATGTTTATCCGATGCATCTTCTTCTTCAAATCTTTGCAATGTTGTGATCTGTCACATTCCCAAGACTATAGGGACTCGTGCTTCTTTCTTCTTATCGTTTTATCATTCTTTTACTCTCTTCCATCTTATTCAAAATATATAATAATTATTAACTAAGTATTATAATATATTATAATATAATATAATTATTATATTAATAATTAATATGTATAATATAAATTAATATATATAATTAATTAATAATTATTAATATAATAATTATAATTACGGTATCTCTCTTAGTCTGACTCTTTCTCTTTGACCTATCCGGCATGGGTGACCCTACCAGTAATTAAGGCCGGTGTTTACACAGTCTTATATTTAAAATCGTTTTAAGTAAAATTTAGAAAATGTTTGTTATTTCATTGAGATTGAACAGAATTTTAAGATGCGATCTAAGATTATATTTAAGATGATTAAATATAAAAACAAATTGTATGAATACCGGCCTACGTTACTGCCGGCATAGCTCTCCGAATCATTAGAGTACTCAAACCTCTTCACCCGGCAAATGCCTTCGTTAAGGTGGAGATACCATCGAAGAGGTACAATTTTTTTATTTTATTTTCTTTTAATATAATGTAGGTTTTTCAAATTTTCCAAATAGAAAATATAATACAAAGGATGTATAAAATATACATATATTATATATATATTA